TTTGCAGGTGCAGCAGCAACTAAGAAGGCGAACGGCATGTTAGCGTTCATTGCAAAAGGTTTAGAGTACAAGAGTAGGGAAGTCTTGCTGCAACTGTATAGGGCCTTGGTGAGACCGCACCTAGAGTACTGTGTGCAGTTTTGGTTTCCTTATTTAAAAAAGGACATACTTGCCTAAGAGGGGGTGCAGCGTAGATTCACTCGGTTAGTTCCTGGAATGAGGGGACTGACCTATGAGGATAGGCTGAATAAACTAGGGCTGTATTCTCTAGGGTACAGAAGAATTAGGGGAGATCTTATTGAAACATATAAGATTCTTAAAAGGCTGATAAAGTAGACACTGAGAGTCTGTTTCCCCTGGTAGGAGAATCATAACCAGGAGTCACAGTCTTAAAATTAAGGGTCAGCGTTTTAGAACAGAGTTGAGGAAACATTTCTTCACTCGGAGGGTAGTGAATTTATGGAATTCACTACCCCAGAAGGCTGTAGATGCTCAGTCCTTGAATATCTTCAAGGCTGAGACTGATAGATTTTTTTAAAAAACAGAGTGATTAGGGGATATGGGGATAGGGCAGGTAATTAGAGTTCAGTCTGAAGATCAACCATGATCTTATCGAATGGCGGGGCAGGCTCGAGGGGCCAAATGGCCTACTCCTGCTCCTAATTCTTATGTTCTTATGTAACATTTTATCACACCATCAAAACATGTCAAAGGATTAAGGATTTTACTGTAAACTGTAAATTTACTGTACTTTGTAGAGAAATGTGGCGACTGTCACACAAACAGTCACGAAGTATATAATCATTTTGTTTTAACCTGGGGGTTGTTGGCCAGGAAACTGGGAAGAACTCTTCTCATTTTGAATAGAAAAACACTTTAATATGTAGACATGACCTTGTTTTAACATCTCATCCGAATAACAGAATCTCCGAGAAAGCAGCACTCCCTCAGCACTGCTTTGGAGTGAGTAGTCTGGACTATAAGATCCTGATGGAAGGGCTTGAACTCACAACCTTCTGATTCGAAGAATATTTCCACCTTAGCCAAGCTAATGCCTGCATTGGCTGCTGCGTTTGTTTACAAAACAGTCACTCGACTTCACTGTGAACCTTACAAGGCACTTTGATGATATCCTCCTAACGTGAAAATCATTTTAACAAATGCAAGCGTTATTATCTTTAGAAACTTGGTAACTAGGCAGATGAATATTACTTCATGAATGTGAATACAAAATATATTAAAATGGTTGTGTCAGTAGGTAAGATGGAATCAGGAAATTAGTTCTGCAATAAATCAGATCAGCAAGTGTTGACTCGATAGCATTTATGGGCAGTGCCCAGCTGGTAACATATTTATAGTTGTCCAGCACATCCAGATTGGCTCCATGACCTGTCAAGCTTCGTCCTAATTCATCAAAATGAAGCCATTGTAGGATGTACCTTAATCCAAATGCTCATCAACAAAACCACCTCCAAATGCTTCAACGTGAGATCCACATCCGGTGAGATGGAAGATGTATGTATTCGACAGTGAATTCAGCCCTTTGGGGTTGAGAATGCCATAAATTCACTACCCTCTTGAGTGAACAAGTTTTTCCTCAACTCAGTGCGAAAGGGCTTACCCCTACTTTTAAGACTGTAACCCCTGATTATAGTTTCTCCAACCAGGGGAAAAAGTCTCCCATTATCTATTCTGTCGTGCCCCTTGATAATCTGATAGGTTTCTATAAAATCACCTCTCACTCTTCTATATTCTAGAGAAATATAGGCCTACATTGCTCAACCTATCCTCATAACTCATCCCCCTCATCCCTGGTACCAACCTAGTGAATCTACGTTGTACACCCTCCAAGGCGAGTACATTCTTTCTTAAATAAGGAGACCAAAACTGCACATAATACTCTAGGTGCGGTCTCACCAGGGCCCTATACAGTTGCAGCAATACTTCCCTACTCTTATATTCTAACCCTTTTGTAACAAATGCCAACATACCGTTAGCCTTCCTAATTGCTTGCTGTACCTGCAAACTAACTTTTTGTGACTGGTGTACAAGGACACCCAAGTCCCTCTGAACGCTAACACTATCTAGTTTCTCCCTTTCTAAAAACGAATCTGCTCTACTGTTTTTGCTACCTCGGTGGATGACCTCACACTTCCCTACATTATACTTCATCTGCCACCTATTTGCCCACTCACCTAGCCTATTCTATATCTCGTTGCATTTTTTTAATGTCATCCTTGGTGTTTACTCTCCCTCCTACTTTAGTGTCATCTGCGAATTTGGATACATTAAGTTCGATGTCCTCATCTAGATTGTTGATGTGGATTGTAAATAGTTGAGGCCCAAGCACTGATCCTTGTGGCACTCTACTAGTCACATCCCGCCAATCTGAGAAGGTCCTGTTTATCCCTACTCTTTGTTTTCTTCCCGTTAGCCATTCTTCAGTCCATGCTAATATTCCGTGGCCCTTAATTCCATGAACCCTAATCTTGTGGATCAACCTTTTATGCGGCACCTTATCGAATGCCTTTTGAAAATCTAAATACACTGCATCCACTGATTTTCCCCTTATCTAATCTACTTGATATGTCCTCAAAAAAATCTAAAAGATTTGTTAAGCATGACTTTGTAAAGCCAAGTTGACTCTGTCTAATCATATTATGATCCTCTAAGTATCCCACTATGACATCCTTAATTAAGGATTCTAGAATTTTCCCTACCACTGATGTCAGACTAACTAGCCTGTAGTTCCCCATCTTTTCTCTCCCACCCTTCTTAAATAGTGGTGTGACGTTTGCGATCTTCCAATCATTGGGAACTGTTCCAGAGACCAAAGAATTTTGGAAGATCCGACACAAGTCCTCCACTATCTCATGAGCTACCTCTTTTAAAATCCTAGGATGCAGACCATCGGGTCCAGGAGACTTGTCAGTTTTTAATGCAAACAATTTCCCTAGCATCAATTCTTTGCTAATGTAAATTTCCCTAAGTTGCTTCCCTATCATTAGCCCCTTGGTTCATCTCTATTTCTGGTAAACTTCTTGTGTCTTCTAATGTGAAGACAGAAGCAAAGTATTTATTTAGGAACTCTGCCATATCCTTATCCCCCATTATAATTCCTCCTGTCTCTACCTGTAATGGACCCACATTTACTTTTGCTACCCTATTCCTCTTAATGTATTTATTACTCTTCCAATCTGTCTCAATGTTCCTAGCTAGCTTGCCCTCATAATCCATTTTCTCATTCTTAATGAGGTTTTTGGTTTTCCTTTGTTGGTCCCTAAAACACTCCCAGTCCTCAAGTTTGCTACTCTTTTTGGCAGTTTTATAGGCCTTTTCTTTTAGTTTTATACTTTCTCTAACTGCTCTAGTTAGCCATAGATGAACTGCTTTCCCTGTGGTACTCTTATTCCTCAAGGGAATATGTGACCACTGGGAATTTTGCACTACATCTTTAAACGTTTGCCACTGTTGGTCTATTGTCATATCCATTAATCTAATTCCCAGTCTATTTTAGCTAATTCCTCCCTCATACCTGCAAAGTTAGTTTTATGTAAATTTAAGACCCTTGCTTCGGATTTGACTACATCGCTCTCTAACTTAATACTAAATTCTATCATGTTATGATCACTCTGCCCGAGAGGAGCCATAATATCTATATTACCGACTAGCCCGTTTCGTTACACAAAACAAGGTCTAGGATGGCCTGTCCCCTAGTTGGTTCCTCAGCATACTGTTCCAGAAAGCTATCTCTCATACACTCTATGAACTCCTCCTCTATCCTACTTTTGCCGATTTGGTTTTCCCAATCTATGTGACGATTGAAATCACCCACTGTATTACCATTTCTACATGCTCCTCTAATTTCCTAATTAATACCCTACGCTATGCTGTGATCACTGTTTGGGAGTCTATAAACTACTCCCACTAATGTTTTCTGCCCCTTGTTATTTTGTAATTCTACCCATGCGGTCTCTACATCCTGGTTATCTGATTTGAAATCTTTTCTCTACTATTTTTATTCCATCCTTTATTAACAAGGCTACCTCCCCCATCTCATTTTCCACATTGTCTATCCTTCCAATAAGCTGAAAACCCCGCAATATTTAACTGCCACCCTAGATCTCCCTGTAACCATGTCTCAGTAATGGCTACTGGATAATACCTATTTGTATCTATCTGTGCCTTTAATTCATCTACCTTATTCCGAATGCTTCGTGCATTCAGATATAGCGATTTTAATTTCTTACCATTTCCCCTACTCTCTGATGCCCTATCTTTTTCACTGAGGTTCTTACCCCTCTTTGACCTATTCTGTTTATCTCTCTCACTATTCTGTTCTGCCACCTTTAGTTTTCTCAATACTGCTGGCTTGCGGTTATTTCTAATTGTTCCCCCCCCCCCCCCCACCTTTACTAGTTTAAAGCCTTATTTACCTACCTGTGTATTCGGTTAGGACATTTGTCCCAGCCCGATTTAAGTGGAACCCATCTTTTTGAAGCAGACCCCTTTTCCCCCAATACTGATTCCAATGGCTCATAAAATGAAACTGCATTCCGTACCATTCCCTCAGCCATGCATTCAACTCTCTAATTTGCTTATTCCTGTACCAATTTGCACATGTCAAAGGCAGCAAACCTGATATCACAACCTTTGATGTTCTTTGTTTCAGTTTAGTTCCCAGCTCCTTGAACTCCCTCCTCAAATCATCACAACTAATCAGAGGTTGCTTATGTCCATATATATGAGAGCAAAATATCTACATGTCAACTGGTTCAGAAGATTGAAATACTTACTGCTTTTAGTCCTGCTGTCAGATGTTTTATGCTTTATAATTTTTTATTAATTTTTTGAACTTTTTTGTTTTCATTATTGGTGAGTGCAGCAGAGATGCCCTATTTTCATGTTAGAGGGGGAAAGCAGTACTGTAAATCTTGTCTTTGTTTAAAGGTAAGGCAATTAATGAAAAACTTTTAAACAAGATGGTTATTTAATTTCAGCCATCCCTCACAGCCCATCATCCAGCACAGGACTGTTGCTTGTTGTGCCACCACGAACGTAAAGACTGGGGAACGCAACCGAATGGGATTGCGGATCTAAAGACACTGGCACATGCGGTGCCCACATTGGCACACACCCTTTTGGAGCACATGCCTCTCTGGATATGTCAGACCTGTCAAAGAAGAGTTGAGGAAGAGGAGCAACGATCCATTCTTGAGCAGACCCTCATGGTNAAAAAAATTCTATTGATAGTCTTGCTGAAATTTTTTTAAGTATATTGCTGTGGATTCCTTTGGACCGCGGAAATGTATTCAACTGAATAGTTGCAAATGTATGAAGTGCTTTTAGGTTAAGGAAAACTTTTTTGTGGAAATTAGGGCAGTTTAATTCAGAATGTAGTTTATGTATTGTTGATGAAGTTGATTTCATTTAATGCAGTAATTTATTTGGTGGTGATCCTTGGGAGGCAATGAAGCACTATTCCATTTGTTACCTAGTGCCAAGCACTTCTAAATTACATGGATTCTTGGATGGAAGCCGAGTGAATGAAGTTTCCTCTGATATCCACTGAAAGATATCCAATGACCAAGTAGTGACTATCCTCTGAGAGGGGGAGATAATCAGATCTCTTTGCGGTTGAGTTGATTCCAAACTGACACACCTGTCAATGGAAGATTGGAATTGAGTCGATTCTCTGTGGTGGTCTCCATACTCCAATACCTCCAACTCCAGGACCACTGCTGTCCTGACATTGTCTGTCAGACATCAAGTCCTGGATGAGAGCTAACTTTCTCCAGTTGAACGTCAAACAAGACTGAGGCTCTCCTGTTGGCTTCCGCCAGCACCTCCACACCTCAGGAACTGACAGCATCACCATCCAGTTATGCACACAAAACACCATTGAGCCAATCCAGAACCTTGGTGTCTTGTTTGACCCTCAACTGTCCTTTTACCCCACATCCATGCCATGACCCGCTCTGTCTTTCCCGACCTCCATAACATCACTCAGCTCCACCACTACCTCACCCTTCCGTCCACTGAAACCATCATCCACGCATTTATTACATCTAGGCTTGACTGCACCAATTTTGTGCTTGTCTGCTTCACAACTCTCCCTCCACAAGCCACAGATCATCCTGAACTCTGCAGCTCATGTTGCTTCCCGCACCAGGCTCCGTGACCCAATTACCCTCACCTGGCTCCACTGGCTCCCCATTCCCCAGAGGATAGAGTTCAAAATCCTTGTCCTCTTCTTCAAGCCCTCCATGGCCTTGCTCCTTCCTATCTCTATGCAGTGAAGCCATATCAACCTGTCCGCTTCCTCTGTTCAGCAGGCTCCGGCGTACTCCATGTTCCCTTCCCCTGCCTATCCCACCATCAGTGGTCAGGCTTTCAGCTTCTCCGCCTCACTCTTTGGTACTCCATCCCACAGTGCCTTCGCCTGGCTCCCTCCTTTGCCTCCTTCAAGTCCAAATCTCTGACTGTCTAGTGCCTTGGGACATCCTCCTGATGTGGAGGGAGCTACACAAATGTAATTCATTGTTGTTGAACCAGGCAGGCAGGTCCATAGTACTCTTCTTGTAAGGCACTGTAGATTCTGGAAGCTAGGATGGCTTGTTTGTGTGACTTGGAGGAGCAGAACAGTCACTGGTGGTTGAGTTTCTATCCATGCAACATCTGCTAACTCTGGAAATCAAAGGCCTTTTGGGCAGAATTGTTCTTCCTGGGAAACAGTGAGGTGTTTGCCAGTGTTTGTAATTTTTAAGCCTCATAATTTTAGCTGGTTAAATTCAGCAACTGCAGTGAATGGATTCCAAATTGTCCTGATGTTTGTAAAGCAAGCATTGATTGGCCAGGATTTGGTCTAACAGCCATGTTTTTTTCCCACAAAGCATCAAAGAGTGCCCCATGGTCAGTGAGAGGTGGAGAGGGAATCCCTGTCTTCATTGCTCATTGGCTAGTCTGACTGAATCAAAACGTATATTAAAACCTCAGCTGGCCGGACCAATGGGGAAGCCAGAATTTCTGGTTAAGTGTAATTACAACTTGAGCAGAGAGACCAGCAGCTTGAGGAGCGAACTGAGTGAGGTGAAACAGTGAGAATTCTGTTAAGGAATTTGGTGAGAGTTGGAATTTGGTGCAGAGGGGGAAAGAGGTTCAGAATTATAAAATATGTTATATTACAATAATATAAAGCATGTCTGGGAGAATGGCAGGGCAGCTGAGATTGGTTGCATGCATAATGTATGCCACGTGGGAACTCCAGGAAGCTTTGCGTGCTCTGGACACGTGTGTAGGAAGTGCCTCCGGCTGCTCGAGCTTGAGGTCAGAGTTTCTGAGCTCAAGGAGAGGCTGGCATCATAGCATACGGGTGGCTAAAGAGTTCATGGATCGAGCGTTTCAGGAGGTGGTCACCCCACAGCCACATAGGGTTCAGAAGGAGAGTTAGTGGGTGACTACCCGGCATGGTAGGAAGAGTTGACTGGCAGTGCAGAAATCCCCTAACAGTGTGGCATTCACATCCAGTTCTCTGTACTGAATACCGGTCACGGTGATGACACCTCTAGGGAGCGGAGTCAAATGCAAATGGATGCACAGGGGGACACAGGGAAGCGTGTGAATGCAATTGTCATTGGGGACACAATGGTGAAAGGAGTAGACAGGCGTTTTTGCAACCAAAGACGTGACTCTTGCATGGTATGTTGGCTCCCTGGTGCCAAGGTTGAAGACATCACAGAATGGGTGCAAAACATTCTACAGGGGGAAGGGGAACATTCAGAAGTCGTGGTTCATGTTGGGATACATGACTTAGGGGGAAACGAAAAGGGCTGAGATGCTACAAGTAACTAGGGAAAAGCTAAAGAGTAGGACCTCAAAGGTGGTGATCTCTGGATTACTCCCAGTGCCTCATGCAAGTGAATATCAAAACAGCTGGATCAAACACATGAATCCATGGCTGGAGAAATGGTGCAGAAAGGAGGACTTTGGGTTCCTGAATCATTGGAACCTGTTCTGGGATAGGTGGGATGTATACAAGGTGGATGGGTTACATCTAAACAGGGCTGGGACCAATGTCCTCACAGGATGGAAGAGTTTAAACTAATTTCGAGGGGGAAAGGGAATCAGGATGCAGCATTAGAGAGGACAAACAAGTTACATAGAGGGCTGGGAGAGACGATTAGCAATGTAATCAGTAGTAATCCAGAAAAAGGAGGGTTCAGACGAGGGAGAAATGGGGTTATGATGTCGTGGCAATAACAGAGACCTGGCTCAAACAAGGGCAGGAATGGGGGCTGAATATTCCAGGCTACAACGTATTCAGGAGGCTTGGGGAAGGAAAAAAGGAGGGGGTTGATAATATTGATTAAAGACACAGTTACGGCCCTGGAGAGTGACGATGTGCTAGAGAGTTCAAAAATAGAGTCGAGTCAAGGAGCAGAAAAAGGAGCTGTTACTCTTTTAAGTGATACTATAGACCACCAAATAGTGGAAGGAGATAGACGAGCAAATCTGCAAGCAGATTTCAGAAACATGCAAAACCAAGAGTAGTGATAATGGGGGACTTCAATTATAATAATAATAATCCTTGCATTTGATATAGCGCTTTTCACGTCGGGAGGACGTCCCAAAGCGCTTCACAGAACACACTGTAAAGTGAATTTGTGGGCGAACGCGGCAGCCAATTGCGCACAGCAGTGTCTCACAAACAGTCGTGGACTGAAGTGACCAATTCATTATTGTTTTTTTTTTCTTGAGGGATTATTATCAGGCATGTGGAATAAGCAAAACTTGCCCAAGGTTTCACCCTGCTGGGAATCAAACCCAGTCTCTCACTTATGAGGCGAGTGCTCCAACCACTAAGCTACAGGACTCCCAAGGCTTGCTTCTTTTTTTTTTACTGTTAGCTTTTTCCAGTGTTGAAAAATCCAGGTAAACGCTGTTATTCAATTGTTATTCAATTGTTTGAATCCAGCGAGTAAGCTATCTCCTGTTGCGGGTTTCAAACTGAGTCAAAGTTGATATCCTCGACCACTGAAGGCCAGAAAGGATGGTAAGGCATGCTAGGGCTAGGGTGACATGCGAATTCCTGTCTGGTAAACCTGGGTTCACTGTATTTTTAAAGAACAGCTGATGCATTGAGACTCCTATTGGATGTTTGGTTAGGCAATAAAATAATGTTCATGTAAAATAGATGGTTATGTAGAGCATGTGGATGCTTTAGTTAAGCCTTGGTTACAATGGCATTCCATATGAAAAGCCAAAACGCTTACCCACGCAAAACTAAATAAAATCTGTCTGTTGATTCCAAAAGACATCTTTGAGGATTTGTTTGTGGGTGGAATAAGAAAACCAGAATTGCAGTAAGAACTGATTTCCTGGAAAGAGAGTCCATCAATCCTGAACCTTTCTCAGACAACATAATTGTATCACAGACACTCTTCCACCTGCTTTACCTTCTAAAAGGCTGTGCTGCACTAGTATTCGCTGTTCTCCTAGCCCTACCATCGGTGGCCGGGCCTTCAGCCTCTCAGCCCCGAGGCTCTGGAACTCCATCCCCCAGTGCCTTCGCCGCCTCCTCCCTTTCCTCCTTCAAGGCCGGTCTCAAGACCTTTCTCTTTGACCGTGTCTTCAGCTCCCCTCTCAACTCTCTACCCCCTCCTTGCCCCCTCCCTTCCCTCCCCTCACCTTGACCATTTCCCCCCTGCTTGGGTCCTGACCCAACTGTCCAGCGCTTTGGGACATCCTCCCGACGCTCTATAAATGGAATCTTGTTGTTGTTCTGAAGCAAAAATATTTAGCTATCCCTATATCTCCACTATTTAACCCTGACTTGTTATGCTTTGTTGGCATCAGTAATCTTTTTCCACTGCCTCAGTATATTTACAACAAATTTTACAGAAAGTTTTGGGGAATTCTTTAAGACCACATCTTCTGTCTATCCTCACCAAAAATGTATTGTCAATTATTTGGTGCTAGTCAAAAAGCACAAGCAATTTTGTACTGTGATTTAGCTTTGTAGTTCCATCCCCTAACTTTCCTGTTGGTCGCATTTGTATATTTGGAAGTACAGGGTTTAGAAGTTTGTTATATCTGATGATCTAAAAATGGGAGATTGCTGTAGAAGGCACAGGATTGAACTTTGATAACTCTATTCGCCTAGGTTCTGAATATAAAATCAAGTATTAACTCTCCCAAATAAGCGGAAACTAGTCTGTGAATGAATTCAATGTAGGTTACAAATCTTTAACGATTTCCCAAAAAGTGCATTTGAAGATTGATATTTTTTGCTTCGTTAGCATAAACAGCAGTTCAGCATTCAACAAAAGTAAAGCAGATAAGGCTATAACTTTATAATCATGCCCTAATGGTTCCTAGTATTGGCCTGTTAATGTTTTTCTACCAAGTAGAGCAGGCCTCTTTTGGAATATAGAAGAATCCGGCCTCATGCCATCTTAGGTCTGAGAAACTGCAAACTACACAGGACAGGCAGGGCAGATTTAGCAGGGGTTATCTCCTAGTTTGTTCCTCTTATCCTGTTTTCCCATAAGCATGCGCTGCGAAAGACTCTGCTGTGTTAATGAGTCCATCTTTGACATGCACACATACAGACAGAGAGACATACACACACACAGACTCAGAGAGAGACACACACTCGCAAATACACACAGACAGACAATCTCAACAGCAGTGCCTCGGAGTGAAGCAAAGCCTATTTCCTGTTCGCACTACGCGTGCATGTCCGGAGCTGCTCCGCCCACAGTAGCGTCGAATAAATGGGCGGCAGCAGTACACAAAGGCCCAGGCGCCAGATACTTCATTGTTTAACGGAGGAAGTTTGTGGGACACTGCTGTGTCCAATTGGCTGCTGTGTTTTGCCCACAAAATATACAGTCAATTCACTTTACAGTATATTCTATGAAGCGCTTTGAGATGCCTCGAAGATGTGATAAGGAGCTATATCAAATGCAAGGTTTATTATTATCTATATGCGCCCTTTTGGCGATGTCATCCGCAGATATGGGGTAAACTTAAAACTACTTCTTCAGTTGCAATTCCAAGTCTGCTGATTTTCTCTCAGCTTGTCTGAGAGAGTCCTGGATGAACAAAAATTTCCTACAGCTAAATGTTGACAAAATAGAAACCATACTGATTGGCTCCCATCTAACCCTCAGAATTACCGAACCAATGTGCGTCAGGTTCGACCCACAGCTATCCATGTCTGCATATCCGGTCCCTGACCAGGACTGCCTTTCTCCACCGCCGCCACATTGCCCGCCTCAGACCATACCTTGCCCCAGATGCAGCCGAAAAAGATTGTCCATATGTTCGTCACCTCCCGATTCGACTTATCAAATGCCTTCTTTGCCAGTCTCCCCAGCTCCACCATGCACAGGAACCGGATCCAGCTGATCCATAACTACTACCCACATACTCATCCATACTAACTCTGAACCCCCAACAAGTACCGGAAACACTGGAAATACCCTTCCTGATGCAACTCCGAGGGGAGGTTTTCTCTCGCTCTCGGCGATGTCCTGGTATGTCAACTGCGAATGTGTTACTTTCCTCAGATGCAGGCGCATCTGATGAAGCATTTCAGAGGAGGGAGGCACGAGAGTAATATACATTCAGCTCTCCCAGAAAGAAACTTGACAAAAGTGCAATACCGTACATGCATTTGTGAGGCTGCCTCTCTCCTCTCCACTGTGTAGTTTTCTTAGTATATTAACGAAACCCCAGGATTTATGAACACTAAAAATAACCCCCGAAAAATCTAATTAATAAATCCGGAAAATTAGAAGCCCTACCTATAGGCAATTTAAAACTGACCTGGAAAAAAAACAAATTAGACTGTGGCTAGAAAGGCCACTAAAGGGCAAGCACCCGTGTAACTTTGCCTCATCTTCCATAAACTTAGGGCAGTGCTTCAGCAGCCAACATGTGTGTAAGTGTGTGTGTGTGTGTGTGTGTGTATATATATATATATATATATATAAATGATCCTTGCATTTGATATAGTGCTTTTCACGTCTTCAAGACATCTCAGAGCGCTTCACAGAATATACTGTAAAGTGAATTGACTATATTTGTGGGCAAAACACGGCAGCCAATTGTGCACAACAGTGTCCCACAAACAGTTGTATATTGAGTGACCAAAATGCTAAACAACAACAAATTACATTTGTATAGCGTCTTTCATGCCAGGAGGATGTCCCAAGAAGGTTGTTACTCAAATTTCATCTATTTGGGGGAAATGCTGTTTTATTTTCTCTCTTGCATGTCCGTAGTATAAATTCTATCAGTATTTGATTATGTTGCAGATTGATCAGTGGTCAAAAGCAGCTGAAACAGGGATAAAACGTTTTATTTAAAATTATCGGGGAATGAACATAGGGCAGTAATCTTATTTTCTCAAGTTTCAGCTAATTACAAGAGCAAAAAAAGAAAAAGCTCTTTTTAATTGTCCCTTGAACAGAGATGAGATTACATGCTTTGTTTCCTTTTTATGAAATCTATTTACCTCCATAGTTTTTATTGTGTTTGGCTTCCTTTCCCCTCAGGTACCTGTCTAAGTATGGTAATGGGTTTCAGACACCCGGCTGACCAAAAATAATCATTTCAGGTGGATGATTTCTTCATTGGACCATTACTAATTATTATGCTGTCCTTGAAAGATCGAATAAATACTGAATATTCTGTAGTGGAAAACAGTAATCTATAATTGTGTTTGAAATCTTGCTAAATTAGTCACTGGAAGAAGAATTACATGGGTTATTACTATAACAAGGCCACAAGAAGGGGAAGTGGAATTGAATGCAATTTATTTGCATGCTATAAAAGAAAGTGCTATATTTAAACTTTCTGTGCTACTGCACCCGAGCAAGGTGGAATTTGGTGGCTTTTATCAACCTATTTTATAGTGAGAAAAACTTTAATTTGAACAGTAAGAGGCACTTTTTTTAGTATTTAGTACAGTAATGCATTTTTGTCTGGTATCTTTCAGGGAGGGCTGAATGTATATTACTCTCGTCCTATCTGTTTGAAACATTAGCAACAGTATAAATTCCTGGTCAATTTAGCTCTAAATAATAATAATCCTTGCATTTGATATAGCGCTTTTCACGTCAGGACGACCTCCCAAAGCGCTTCACAGAACACACTGTAAAGTGAATTGACTGTATATTTGTGGGCGAACGCGGTAGCCATTTGCGCACAGCAATGTCCACAAACAGTCGTAGATTGAAAGTGACCAATTTATTATTGTTTTTGTTTTGGAGGGATTATTATTAGGCTCTATGTGGAGTAAGGAAACTTGCCCAAGGTTTCGCCCTTTGCCTGGAATTGAACTCAGGTCTCTCGCTTGCGAAGCGAGTGCTCTAACCACTGAGCTACAGGACTCCGCAAAAGGAGGAATAAAGTATCTTCTAGGGAATTTGAAGAGCATTCACATGGTAAAAATAATCGGTTGGGGGACCTACTACATGAATTAAGTATTCTTCAGAAAATCCCTTTAAATTACACTACCTTGCCAAGTTTTGACCTCAAGCTGAGATCTCATGGTTGATGTGCAGAGGATTCCCTGGAGAAAACACAAATGACATAATTGGTTTCTGGAGGTCAAGTGGTTCTCATGTTGCTATACAGGAGCTATATTTTGCTATAACAGGGTTTTCAACTTGCACTGTATACCACAGTAGGAGACGCTGGTTGAATCTGTGAGGCCTTTGATGGTCTTTTTAGCTTCCATTCCTGATGTCCAGGGCAATTAAATATGAAGTGACCAAAATGGCCAGGTGTGTGTGCTTCAAGCTACAAACCATTAGCAGGGAAGCATCTCTATCTGTCAGGGAGGATGCAATTAATGGAGTACATTTGGTATCTCTTCATATGTAATTTCGATACACTTCTTGGATTTTTCACTCTACCATAGACAAAAAAAGTCAATGTATAAATTGTGCAACTAGCAATCATAAGTTTTAATCAAGTTCTAACATAGCTTTTTTTCCCAGACATTAATAACATTTTACCTGGGCTGTTATATGAAGCCGGATACAAGTGTTTGTAACTTGTAAGAAGATACTGGTGCAGACTTTATTTGTTGTGTTCTCTGTTGGGTGGTAGGATATAGGTAAAAGTCATCTTTTTCTTTCAGATTGGACAGAGTGAATGTCAGGCACATAAACGAGAGGCGCCTGGTGAGTCAACAAGAGCAGTGACAGAGGGAGATGGAGTCTCTGGGTATCACAGGTCACCGACTGAGAAATGTCACCACTCTGCAATCCATTGTTGTCATCAAATGCATAGACATTCATTGGGGCCCAGTAATCCTCATCCACACCAATTACAACTTCTGCCATGCACAGCCACTTCTAATGACACATATACAAAGGTAGGGAGCCAGAATCCTAAAAGTGGAAAAGTTGAGAGACTTGATTTGGGTTCCCTACCAAAGTCACTGTATTTGAACTGGTGTTTTATTGATAACATCTGGTCTTTAATGATTTGCATGCTATGCTTGACATTAAAAAAAAACTTCAGATATTTGAGTTATGTGTGCTATGTGTCCTATGAGTTGGTATGCTTCAGGTACTTTTTTTTGTAAAACAAAAAAATCCTTTTGATGGTGATGCTTATTTGCAGCATGCATTTTGATTAAATTGTGCCTTTTAATTACTTTGATTTATTTTCATTTCCATCCAATTACCAGGAATCCAGCAGAGCAAGCAGTGACTGTTCCAGATTGCCCTCCTGCGTCTCCATAAAAGCCAGTCCTGTGCAATGTAAGAACATGTCTAGAAGGCCAACACTACCAGGTAATGTCCTACAAAATGTTTACTGAAGTCTGGTCGAATGGTATTTTTGATCCCCTGTTACACTTGCTTCCTATTTTATGCATTCTTTCCTCAAGCTGGAATACATCAAAGGTCCAGTGCAACTCACTTGAAATGCAATGAAAGGTTTTTGTAGTAAACATGCATGAAATTAACGTATTCCATCTTATTCCATTAGTAGCATCAGTATGCATGTGAATGCATCACTTCTGTTCAGGGTAAGATAATGTTTAGCAAAACCCTCACCCTTCTACAATGTTCCCTCCCATAATTAGGAGCATGTATGAAAAGCATGTTTAAAGTTAGGTGATCTGCTGTGTTGTAGATTCAATTTGTGTGGGTCTGGTTGGGCGCTTGTTGATATTCGTAGAATCATACAGCACAGAAAGAGGCCATTCAGCCCATCGCGTCTGCGCCAGCTCCTAAAAGAGCAATCCAACTCAATCCCACTGGCCCGTTTTCTCTCCATAGCCCTGCAATCCTGTCCTCCCCAAATACCCATCTACTTCTCTCTTAAAAGTTGTTATTGAATCGGCTTCCACTATCCTTTCAGGTAATACATTCCAGATCCGAACAACTCGCTGGGTGAAAAAAAAATTCCTAACCTCCCATCTGTGTCTTTTAACAACTATCTTAAATTGGAGTCCTCAGGTTACTGACCCACATGCCAGTGGAAACAGTTTTTCCTGATTCAACCTATCAAATCCTCTCATGATCTTGAAAATCTCTATTAAATCCCCTCTTAATCTTCTCTGCTCTAGGGAGAATAATCCTAGTTTCGCTAGCCTCTCCTCATAACTAAGCTTCTTCATTCCTGGCACCATCCTGATAAACCTCCTTTGCACCCTCTCCAATGTCCTAAAATTTTTTCTAAAGTGCGGTTCCCAGGACTGAACGCAGTACGCAAGTACTCCAACTGAGGCCTAACCAGCAGTTTATAAATATTCAACATAACCTCCTGACTTTTGTATACTATGCCCCTATTTATAAAATATAGTATCATGTATGCTTTTTTAACAGCTTTATCTACCTCTCCTGCCACCTTCTAGATTGTACCATCAGCTTATTCTGCCTCTCCTCATTCTTCCTAACAAAATGCAACACTTCGCATTTCTCCACATTAAATCTCATCTGCCACAATTCTGCCCATTTTCCCAATCTGTCTAAGTCCCCTTGGAGTCTGGTGCTATCCTCCTCACCATTGACTACTTTTCCTAGCTTAGTATCGTCTGCAAATTTGGAAATTGTGCTCCCTATATCCAGGTCCAGATCATTAATATAGATCAGAAAGAGCAGTGGTCCCAATACCAACCCCTGAGGGACACCACTACACACCTCCCTCCAGTCAGAAAAGCAACCGTTTACTACCACTCTCTGCTTTCTGTCTCCCAGATAGTTCTGGATCCATGTTGCCTCAGTCCCTTTAATACCGTGGGCTTCTATTTTGTTTCTAAGTCTCTTATGTGGCACTTTGTCAAATGCCTTTTGAAAATCTAGATAAACTACGTCTATTGCACTACCTTCATTCACCATTAACTTCATCAAGTCACAAGTCACTTCATCAAAAAATTCTATTAGGTTTGTCAGACACGATCTGCCTTTAACAAATCCGTGTTGACAGTCCTTTATTAAACCATATTTTTCTAAGTCAGAATTTATATTGTCCTGGATTATAGTCCCATATAAATAAGTTGATATTAAATAAAACACAATTTCAGACCATAACAGCTCACCTTCCCCCTCCCGAGGCCATTCTGTGGCCATTACCATATCATCAGGGTCCGAGACACACCTTTTCTCCCTGGTCTGCTTGATTTGTGGCAATTCTCCCCATTGTTTTGCATTATTAACACATTTTCCCCTGTTTTGTTGCAATCCCCCCTTTGTCCTGCATCATTAACGCCTCTTTAAACCATCATCCCCTGTCTTCTACCCTATTTTCTCATTTGTCTTCCTGCCCTGCCTCCCCCTCTCTTTTAGTCCTTAAAAGCCTCTCCCAACATGTCCCAGTTCTGACGAAGGGTCGTTCTTAGTGGAGCTATCCATAAAACTGAATCTGGAGACCAAGGGAAGTGGGTAAGGTACGGGAAATATTTCACAAAATATCTTGAGCTGCAATGGAAAAGCTAGTTAATGAAGAATTATTTGGGATGAGAAGCACGCTGATATTACTTAAATGAGAAGACTAAAGATCTTTTCTGCACTGATATTTTCTCTGTCAGCCTTCCCTCACCTCCCCTCAGGCGGCTGAAACCCTCGTACATGCATTTGCCACATCAAGGCTCGACTACGGAATCTCCTTCCTTATCGGCCTCCCCAACCCTTCCCTCCACAAGTATTCAGAATTCCGCAGCTTCAGTCCTCTCCCGCACCAGGCTCCATGACCCCATCACCCTTGCCCGGCTCCACTGGCTCCCCATCCCTCAGAGGATAGAATTCAAAGTCCTCGTTCTCACTTTCAAGGCCCTCCATGGCTTTCCCCATTCCTAGCTCTGACCTGCTATCAACCTGTCCGCTCCCTCCGTTCAGCAGACTGCTCCATGTCTCCCGTCCTACCATTGGCGGCTGGGCCTTCAGCCTCTCTGCCCTCACCCTTTGGAACTCCATCCCAAATCCCTTTGTCTTGCTGCCTCCCTTGCCTCCTTCAAGGCACAAATCAAGACTCTGCTTTTGACCCTGCCTTCAGCCGCCCTCCTACCTCTCTGCCCTCCCTCATCCCAACCCTGCCCCCCCCCAGCTCAAGTCCTGATCCCTGACTGATCAGCGCCTTTGGATGTCCTCCTGATGTGAAAGGCAATTTACAAATATCATTTTGTTGTTTTTTAATTAATAATAATAAAATTAATTCTGCACAAGAAGCGCACTATGCAGAATGTCCCAATTGGCCATTAATGTTAGTGCATAGCCAGTCTAAAGAGGAAAAGATCACGGTAAAGGCTTAAATGAGAAAAGGCTGACTTGTCGTAGATTAGGCCTGACTACCACCACTTCAGCCAGGTCTATGTTGCCCTTTGGTTTAACCTTTTTTTTTATTCAGTAAAGTTGTTCAAAGGCGCTATACAAAGGTAATTTGCTGCTGCTGTTATTGTTCAAGATTCATATCATTCTTGAATTCAGAAATGTATGTGGACATTACATTTTAAATTTTTGTGATCATTGTTTTTATGTGTTCTTTTTCGATAGTTTCCCACTGTTTTTGGGTTTCATTCCTCTAATGACCAACAGAATTTTGTCTTCCAGGTGGGGAGCTCCATTGCTCAGAAGATCACAGATATTCTGTCCTTGCAGCACCTCCCAACAGCCCCACTGGCATGACCTCCAACCCTCTTCTTCCAACACAAAAATCTCCATCTCAAATTACTAATGAACCAGTGACTTCCATTCACCAACATCAATACGGACATGTGACTGCGACATCTCTCTGTTCTGTGCCACACTCCACAGCCTCCACAAACTCAAATCGGAGGCAACCTGTGACAGCTGGGCTTCCACATGTTCTGCCTCATGTATCTAAGACTTCCACTACTGTGACCTCCACTAGTGTATCTTCAGACATGTCCATGTCAAAAGCAGCTGCTGCTCTTCCAGGTGGCCTTGTGACCCCAGTGCTTCCCGGTGCCAGCTCTCCTGCCCCCTCCTGCCTGTCTCCTTTTCCGAATAATGCAGTGGCTGCCCCTGGCTGCACCAGTCACTATAATGGAGCCTGCTCAATTGTAGCCACACCAAGTTCAGCTGCTCCTTCTAATGGAATCTGCAGGTTTGTATTTGCACAAAATTGCACAAAAACACACCTGATAATAATTCCTCAAGAAAAAATAAGATAAAATAATAAAAATTTGGTCACTCAATCCACGGCTGCTTATGGGACATGTTTCGCCCACAGAATATACAGTCAATTCATTTCACAATCTATTCGGTGAAGCCCTTTGAGACATCTAGAAGACATGAAAAGCTTTATATGAAATGCAAGGATTTAGGTAAAGGCTCTGGAATGTTTCCACTAATACAGACAGGTATTTAGCTTGTAAGTAAAGTGGTACAGGGATGATGGGTCTTTAAACATGGAAGTTTCATTTGCCTGTAAAACCAAAGTAATGAAGCTGCAGTTTCTCCATCTGATGGTAGTGAAATAAGGTGGTCTTTTCATTTTGACTAAACTTACTTTACTGTAAGGACTTAGATTCTCCTCTTTTTTTCAATAAAATTGGATTGTAAAACAGGAACTGGTATGACATCAGCTAATGTCACACAGAGGCAGGATTTCCACTAAGCAGCAACTTCACACAGACTTAGTGACTTTCTGGATTGTGTAATGTGGAAACTCTTATGGCTCTATTCAAAGAGCCGGCACAAACTCGATTGGCCGAATGGCCTCTTTTTGTGCTGTATGATTCTATGATGAATGGAGCCGTGAATTTCGTCTACTCCCAAGTCATTTTGTTGCAACAATATACATGGGAATTACTGCATATGAAGTTTCATGAGCAGCATTTTAAATCCGCAGTTGTTTAAAGAAGTTGTTTAAAATTCAATGATGCAATAGTTGATCACCTATGGCTTAAAATTCCTACTTAAAAATCCAACCGAAATTAGATTCTGAAGCTACAACAACAACAACTTGGATTTATATAGCGCCCTCCACGCCGGACAGCGTCTCAGAGTGCTTCACGGTAACGGATCCCGGTTAATGCTTACATGCATTGTACATGTCTTGCATAGAGGGCTGACATTGAAGACTTGTTGGTTACAGTATGGAATGACACTGAGTTATAAGAAAGTAATAATTATTTTTATGTAGTTAGCGCCTGTAAAGTTAGGGCCTCAAGATGCTTCACAGGGTGTGTCAAATCTAGGGGGCTGTATATTTGTAGGCAAATGCAGAAGGCAACTTGTGCATAGAAAGTTTCATTTAAAAAAACCTTGAAGTAAACCTGGACCATTCTTGATCAGCATGCTGGGAATTCACTTCTCTTTTCCAACAAGATTTCACTTCCTTATATTAATATTGAAAGATTTATGGACTCTTTAATATTGACCTAAACAAATAGACAGAACCTTGGTTTTAATGTCTCATCCAAATGACACCACCTCTGACAATGCAGGATTCCCGACTGCTGAAGTCAGCCTGGGCTCTATTCAAAAACCTAATAAGGGGCTTGAACCCCAACTTTCTGACTCACATGATGAGAGTGCCACTGAGCAGGCCAATCCCGTTTATCCAACACCATTGTATAAGGGAATAGTGAAGGTTTGATCCCCCATTTCTTTATTTCTTGATTTGGGAGCTTAATAGAAGAAGGGGAGATGGAAGAATTAGATAGGAAGCTTCTTGTGTCTTGGGACCAATTGCTCAGGCAGTTGTGATGAAGTGGCAAGGGGTTAACTGCACACCTTGTCAGCAATAGTAGTAGTAATAATAATAATAATCCTTGCATTTGATATAGTGCTTTTCACGTCTTCTATGACTGCAGATGAGGAATAATTTAATTTTTTTATGCAACATTAAGGCTTTTTAATTTTTTTTAAAAAATAATAAAAATTAGGCAAAATTTCTGTAGATTGGTGAGGGTCCAGCAGCCTTTTTTTTGGACGTGCTCTGCACTGTCAAGCTCTCTTGGACGAGAGAGACCAGAACTCTGCAGCTTGTGTCTTCTCCCGCACCAGGCTCTATGACCCTATCACCCCCATCCTCACCCGACTCCATGGCTTCCCATCACACAGAGGATATAGTTCAAGATCCTGGTCCTCACCTTCAAAGTCCTCCATGTTCTTGATGCCCCCTACCATCCTGCTCGCTCCCTCTGCTCAGCGAGCTCCAGCCTGCTTCACGTCAACAACAATGAAATTACATTTATAGAGCACCTTTCATGTCAGGGTGACGTCCCAAGGCGTTGGGACAGTAAGGGATCAGGACCCGAACATGGGGCAGGGGTTAGGGAAGGCAGAGAGGTGGTCAGGCAACTGAAGCCACGATTGAAGAGGAGTGTCTTGAGACCGGCCTTGAAGGAGGCAAGGGAGGAAGCGAGGCAAAGGAACTGTGGGATGGAGTTCCAGAGTGTAGGGGCAGGGAGGCTGAAAGCCTGGCCACCAATGGTAGGGCGGTTCGGGTGGGAGACATGGAGCAGGCCGGAACCCGCTGAACAGAGGGAGCAGGCAGATTGGTAGGGAGTCAGCAGGTCAGAGAGGTCGGAGGGTTCAACACCATGGATGGCCTTGAAAGTGAGGACGAGGATCTTGAATTCAATCCTCTCAAGGATGGGGAGCCAGTGGAGTCAGGCGAGGGTGGGAGTGATGGGGTCACAGAGCCTGGTGTGCAAGTACACGAGCTGCAGAGTTTTGGATGATCTGCAGCTTGTGAAGGGAAGAGTTGGGAAGGCCGATGAGGAGGGAGTTTCCGTAATAGAGCCTTGATGTGATGAATGCATGGGTGAGGGGTGAGGCAGTGGTGGAGTCTGGCAGTGTTGCGGAGGTGCTGTTAGGCAGTGCTGGTCATGGCGCGGATGTGGAGGGGAAAAGACAGTTCAGGGTCAAACAAGACACCCAAGTTCCTGACTGGCTTAGTAAGGTTGAGTGTGCAACCGTAGATGCTGATACTGCCAGCACCCGAGGTGCGGAGGCGCTGGCGCGAGCCAATCAGGAGGGCCTTGGTCTTGCTGACGTTGAGTTGGAGAATGTTGTCCCTCGTCCAGGACTTGATGTCAGACAGGCAGTCGGTCAGAACCCCAGTAGTCCTGGAGTTGAGGCGGAGAGATAGTTGGGTGTCATCCGCATATATGTGGAAATTTACCCCATGTCTGCGAATGATGTCACCAAGGGGGACCATATAGAAGGTGAAGAGGAGGGGACCGAGGACAGAGCCCTGAGGAACACCGCACAAGATAGTGCGGGGGCTGAAGGAGAAGCCGTTTGCAAAGACGAAGTGGAGGCGGTGTGAAAGGTAGGACCTGAACCAGTCAAGAGCAGAATCTTGAAGATTGAGGTGGGAGGAGAGGTGGTCGAGGAGGATTGAGTGGTCCTCAGTATCAAAGGCGGCAGAGTGGATGAGGAGGCAGAGGGTCAGGATGTCATTTTTGATCTTGACAGGAGCAGTTTCCGTGCTGTGGGCAGTACGGGAACCTGATTGGAGGAGCTCATGGAGGGAGTGGGAGGAGAGGAAAGAGCAAAACTGGGAGGCAACGGTACTCTCAAGACCCTTTTGGACAGAAAAGGGAGGTGGAAGATTGGCTGCTAGCTGGATAGCTGTGATGGGTCAAGGGAATGTTTCTTCAAGGTGGGGGTGATAGTGGCTGTTTTGAGGGGGGAAGGAAAAGTGCCAGATGACAGGGAGAGGTTGAAGATGTCGGCGAGTTATAATATAATAATAATCCTTGCATTTGATATAGCGCTTTTCACGTCGGGAGGACGTCCCAAAGCGCTTCACAGAACACACTGTAAAGTGAATTGACTGTATATTTGTGGGCGAACGCGGCAGCCAATTGCGCACAGCAATGTCCCACAAACAGTCGTAGATTGAAAATGACCAATTTAATTATTGTTTTGTTTTTTTTTTGGAGGGATTATTATTAGGCGTGTGGAGTAAGGAAACTTGCCCAAGGTTTCGCCCTGCCTGGAATTGAACTCAGGTCTCTCACTTGCAAAGCGAGTGCTCTAACCACTGAGCTACAGGACTCCACAGTCGTTGTGGGGCAAGCAGGTGGAGCTGGGATTTGAGGAGAGCGGTGGGGTTGGGGTCCATGGAGCAGGTAGTGAGTTTCATGGAGGATATGGTGGTGAAGACAGGAGGGGGTGACAGGTTCAAAGGCGTGGAAGGAGGGATGGGTAGTGGTCGGAGTGGGGGGTAGGGAGGGGGTGGAGGTTGGGAGGGTAGTGACAGCTAAGCGGATTCCCACAATTTTGGACTCAAGGATGTCCCCTGTCTCGCTTGCCCCACTATTGGCAGGCGGGCCTTCTGCCACTCTGCCCCCTTTTGGAGCTCCATCCCGCAGTCACTCTGCCTCGCCCCCCCCCCCCCCCTTGCCTCCTTCACGAACCTCCTCTTTGATCGTGTTTTCGATCTCCTTGCTTCCCTCCCTGCCCTCCACCTTTCCCGACCCCCAGCTCGGGTCCAAAACTCATGTCTGTCCAGCGCCTTGGATCGTCCTCCCGAAGTGAAAGGCATTATACAAATGTAATTTTCTTTGTGTTGTATGTAACTGGCTCCTGTGCCTTATTGAAGACTGTGTTTTTACAATAAATACAAAATTACATTTGTGTCGCGCCTTTCACGTTAGGAGGACATCTCAAGGCACTGGACAGTCAGGGATTTGAACCAGAGGGGGGGAATGGGATAGGGGAATGTGGAGGGCAAGGAGAATAGAAGGGTAGCCGAAGGCACAGTCAAAGAGGAAGGTCTTGAGATGTGCCTTGAAGGAGGCAATGGAGGGAGCAAGGCGAAGGGAATGTGGGATGGAGTTACAAAGGGTGGGGGGGGGGGAAGACTGAAGACCCGACCGCTGATGGCTGGGTGGGTGACGTGGATCAGGCTGGAACCCACTGAGAGAAGGGAGCGGATAAGTTGATAAGGCGGTTAGCAGGTCACAAAGGAAGGGCCAAGGCAGTGGAGGGCCTTGTAGTCGAGGACGAGGATTGAGAACTCTATCCTCTGAGGGAAAGGAAGCCAATAGAGCCGGCAAGAGTGAGGGTTAAGTGGGTCATGGAGCCTGGTGCAGGAGAGGATACAAGCTGCAGATTTCTTGGTGATTTGCAGCTTGTGGAGGGAAGAGTTGGGAAGGCCGACAAGCAAGGAGTTGGCATAGTCAAGCCTAGATGTGATGAATGAGGGTTTCGGCAACCTGAGGGTTGAGGCAATGGCAGAGCCAGGTGATGTTGTGGAGGTGGGGGAGAAAGGACAGTTAAGGGTCAAACAACATGCCTGGGTTCCCAGTTAGTTCATTGAGGTGGAGTGTGCATTGAGAGAGAGGGGGGGGCAAGATCCATGGAAAGAGGGCTTTAGGAGAATGTCTGGCCACATGCAGAGGTCTCGGGAGCATTTCTAGTTACAATCTGATGACGGAGGCCTGGCATTCAGATATTCCAGCTTTCAATGTATTTTCAAATGTGTTTTTCAGTAAACCTATTAAATGCTATAAATGGTGTCATTTACCATCCGATGTGCATTCTGGAGACTTGTTAAGCCCTGAGTATCCAGTTCTAGAAGTACATTACCTTACTTTACTGGTGAAGAGAAGCCATTCGTATCACATTCTTTGTCCCTGCTTTATATTTTCAGGATGGTTACAATTGTTATGCATTTTGTTCCTTGGTTTGTATGGTGATCAGCTTAATTTTTTGGTTCCTGCCCAGGCAAATAGTCTACTTTGAACTTTGATGGTGTAGTGTTCTTACTTATCCCTCGATTGCTGAATTCTCCCTTCGGGCGGTGTGTTATTATTCTGGGACTAATAAACTAGTACTGTATTTGTGGCCGTTTCTGGCTTCTGGGTACTGCTGTGTAGAATCAAAAATAGAACAACTGTTTCGAAGGTTGTTGGATTGAAGAACTAAAGACCAGAGTAGGATGAAATTAAAAGCAAACGAGGAAAAGAAACAAAGCAAGAACATTTTAATGCAGAGAAAAGATAAGCATTTGTGGGCAGAGGAAACCAGGAGTTTGGACGTGGTTGACAGCAACAAGAATAATCTGTACCTTTTGCATGACCAGGCTCTTGTATCTTGAATTCAGATTCTGGTACACACTGAGTTTGAAGTCTTACCATTTTCTTAAAAGAAACACTCCTCTTGGAGCTGTGTGTAACTCCGCAGTATAATCCGTGGTAGCAATGTTCCTCTTTTAAAACTCTCCTGTTTTATTGCCTGCTTGTAGAGACCAGTCGTGCAAAACTCACCTGTGCACAAACGAAGCTAGCTACACATTGGCACAGGCCCACAATGCTGAAGAGAGCCTGGAGGAAGATGACAGCTGCTCAGAGCACAGCTCATGTACCTCCCACTCAGCTAATCAGAAAGAAGGAAAGTACTGTGATTGTTGCTACTGCGAATTCTTTGGACATGGGCCGGTAAGCATAACCCAACTGGAAAATGAATATCATAAGGTGTACACCAGTGATTGGAATGTCCCAATATAGTAGACATTCCTATCACAGATGCGGGGCGAAGGTTAGTTTTGAGCATTATTTGCAAGATTATGGGTACGCCAAAATAGTCTGAAGAATAATTTTACCCTGGTAATTTGCACAGTGAAATAATGTGATCCATTCCTTTCTCATTTTTAACCACCCAAAAAGCCACTATGCCTCCTTGATAGGCCAACGATTAGAGGTACTGGTAGTATGCAACTACGCCATACAAACTGCATGTGACCCAGTTAGTTAGTTGTTAACATAATAATAATAATCCTTGCATTTGATATAGCACCTTATCACATCTTTGAGACGTCTCAAAGCGCTTCATATACTGAATATACTGTAAAATGAATTGACATGCATGTAAATGGGGCAGAATGTGAACTCTACCTTTCTTAAGAGGTTTTGCAAAACCGATGGCCAGTAGGGAGTAGTGATCCTGATCGTTTGAGGGAGAATTGTGCTGAAATATTTATTACACATGCTGTTATGGTTAAACAATTGCGGACACTTCTGTTTTAAGATAACTGCAGCTGTAGATCATGGATATGTATTTACAAAATGTATCAACTTGTAAAGGCAAATTGATCAAAACGAAAGGCTGTATTATGATATTAAATTTTGTTCTGCTTTGTTTTTCCCATTTCATGAGCCAAGAATGAATGATTACAGGCAAGAGTTCATTTCTACTTTTCAACTCTGTCTTAGCCTCCTGCAGCTCCAACAAGTCGAAACTACACAGAAATCCGTGAGAAACTAAGAACGCGGTTGACAAAACGCAAAGAGGAGCTTCCACAGAAATTGAACCATGGCTCCATCCGAGAGCCACCAGTGGATGAGAGAAATGTCGAGGATCTATTACATTTTATCAACAGCTCAGAACCGAAACCAGCTAACAGTGCCAAAGCAGCTAAAAGGGCACGCCACAAGCAGAAAAAGGTACATTGTTTTACTCTGTTAGAAATAATAATCCTTGCATTTGTTATAGCATTTTATCACATTGAAATGTCTTGAAGAACCTCACAGAATATGCATTGAATTGAATATATATTTTGTTTGTGCAGCTGATAAATGTGAACCCTTATCTTACCATGGCTCTGTGTGTTCCAGCAGGAGAAAGCCCGGTCAGAAGCTTGCGATCAAAGACCAGAGAAGCCATGCCCATCACGGCTACATATACAAGACATCGAGAAAGTGTCTTTGCTGAATCAGCATATTCAAGGAGATATAGAGGAGAAAGTTTTGATATTTAACCAACATATTCAAGAGGACATCGAAGAAAAAGTTTCCAAACTCAACCAGCACATCCAAGATGATATAGAAGAAACACTTAACCAGCAAGAACTGTGGCACCAGGTAAAGTTGCAGCAAGTAAGCAGCATTCTGACCAGCAGACTGGAGCAGCTTAAAGATCGAATCCGAGACTCCATCAAAGCAAACTTCAGTCTCTGCGATCTGCCCTTGGACAAGAATGATTTTCCAGAGATCTTCTCGGTGGAGAAAGACTTATTGTATGACAGCAATGGCAGTATGGACAAGGAGGAGCTGGCAATAATAGACCATCAAAAACGCAACCTGAACCTGTCCATGATGACCCAGGGCACTGTACAGAACCATTTGTTAAATGGAAATAGACACACATTCACCCCAATTCAAGAACACAATGAGTTGCCTATATTTGAAACCCAATCCGGAAGGAAATCAAACAAAAACTGTTTGTTACTTTCAAAGGCTGCTGATCATTCTAAACTCCTACTGGAAGATACCAGTGCATTCAGATTGCAGGTGCCGTCCGCAGAGTCTCGAGTGAAACAGCAGATAGTGAGAAGCGGGAAACAGGCCAAGCAGCCCAAGCAGCATACTTCAGAGGACAATATGGGAAAACCTGCGGTGTTAAGAAAGGACCATGAGCAGACTGTAGCTCCAAAGGCGGAGGGCTCCAAACAGCACACCTGCAGCTCATTCACCAAACAGAAGAGCAACCAGGCCCATGACAGCAAATCACCAGAGAGCCAGGCAAGGAGTGCAACTGACAAATGTGCTGATCCCAGACCAGGCAAATGGAAAGGAGTCTACTCTGAAGCTGCCGAGAACAGGAAAGGCAACATTAAAAATCCGAGTTATGCCAAGGTGGAAGTGTCTGATACCAGAGGAGTCCAGGGGGAGCAGCATGGACCTGACTCGTCTCAGCCCAGAGGCAAGAATCAGAAAAACAAGAAGAAGAAAAATGACAAACCCAACACCTCTGTCAGTGAGTTTAACCTGCCTATAATACTAAAAAAAAGCAAAATAATGCAGATCACGGAAATCTAAGAACCGTAGTCGCTGGGAACATTCAGCAGGTCAGGCAGCATCTATGGAGAAAGGAAAGTAAGTCAATGTTTTGGGTCCATAACCATTCGTCAGATCTGAGGCATGTTGGGAGGGAGAGGCTTTTAAGGGCTAACAGAGAGCGGGGAGGCAGAGCAAGGAAGACAAAGGAGAAAATGGGGTGTGGACCGGGGATGATGGGTTAAAGAGGTGTTAATGATGAAACAAAGGGGGTGGAAATTGCAACAAAATAGACCAGAGAGAAACGGTGTGACTGGGACCCAGATAATATGGTAATGGTTACAGAAGAAGGGGAGGGGGAAGGTGAGCTGTTATGGGTCTGAAATTGTTGAAATCAATATTGAGGCCAGAGGGCTATAAGGTCCTTACAACAACAACAACAACAACAAGATTCCATTTATTGAGCGCCTTTCACGTCGGGAGGACTTCCCAAGGCGCTGTACAGTTGGGTCAGGACCCGAGCCGGGGGGAAATGGTCAGGGTGAGGGGAGGGAAGGGAGGGAGCGAGGAGGGGGTGGTGAGTTGAGAGGGGAGCTGAAGGCACGGTCAAAGAGAAATGAGGTTTCTCGAGCTGGACTGTGGCTCATTGGAACAGGGTAGGAAACCATGGATGGAGAAAGTGTGATTGGGAGGAAGAGATGAAGTGCATCATTAACACCTCTTTAACCCATCATCCCATGTCCTCTACCCCATTTTCTCCTTTGTCTTCCTTGCCCAGTCTCACCCACTCTCTGTTAGCCCTTAAAAGCCACTCCCTCCCAACATGCCCCAGTTCTGACAAAGGATCGTGGATCCGAAACTTTGACTCACTCTCCTTTCTCGATAGATGCTGCCTGCCCTGCTGAGTGTTCCCAGTGACTTTTATTTTATGATGTTAGTACAATTATTACTCGACTGAAAATATTTCAAGAGCATAAAGATTTCACAAATAAGAAAAGATGAAGAATCCTACAAAGTGTACGCAAAGACACCTCTCTGGCAGTACATACACTACAACAACAACAACTTGCATCCACCCCAGGTGGAGTCTCAGAGTGCTTAACAAGGGCGGGACCCAAGGCCGAGCCAGTGGGAGGGGGAAGGTGACCGTAGGCGCGATCGAAGAGGAAGCTCTTCAGGTGAAACCTGAAGATGGGGAAGGAGGAGGCTAGGCGAAGGGGTTGAGGGAGGGAGTTCCAAACTTTCGGGGCGTAGTGGCTGAAGACACGGTCACCGATGGTGGAGCAGAGGATTTGGGTGACCTGGAGGAGGCCAGACCCAGTAGAGCGGAGGCAGCGGGTACCTCTGTGGGGAGAGAGGAGGTTTGAGAGATAGGAGGGTGCCAAAGAATGGAGTGATTTAACCACTAGAGTGAGGATCTTGAAGTCAATTCGCTCTGTGACAGGGAGCCAGTGGAGTTTGGCAAGGAGTAATCGGGTTATGAAGTTTCGTGTGGGTGAGAATGCGAGCGGCGGATTTTGAATGAGCTGAATTTTGTATATAGTGGAGGAGGGGAGATCATCGAGGAGGGCGTTAGAGTAGTCCAGCCGAGAGGTGACAAAGGCATGGACAAGGGTTTCGGCAACTTTTGGGGTGAGGCATTCGGCCACATCCCTTTCCCTCCCCCACAACCCCAGCTCGGGTCAGAAATGCTGTACACTGTCCAGCGCCTTGGGACGTCCTCCCGACGTGAAAGGCGATATACAAATGTAATTTGTTGTTGTTGTTGGAGATGGGCAATGTGGCGGAGGTGGACGAAAGCGGTGCTTGTCAGGGACTGGATGTGGGGGAGGAAGTATAACCGGGGATCGAACCTGACGCCTAAGTTGCGCACGGGTTCGGGAGAATTTTAAGGACAGGTCGGATAGGTTGAAGTAGTCGGAACCGTGGGATGGAAAACATCGATGGGAGCCAAAGAGTATGACTTCCGTCTTGTCAACGTTTAACTGCAGGAAATTTGCGCTCATCCAGCTCTTAATGTCTGACAGACAAGCTGATGGAACATCAGGGAACAGGGGCGGGCGCAGCTGGAGGTGGAAAGGTAGAGTTGAGTGTCATCCACATACATATGGAAATTAACCCTGTGTCTGCCATTGGCATCACCGAGTGGGAGTATATAGATGAGGAAGAGAAAGGGGCCAAGGTGACCGGGTGGAAGCGAGAAGAAAAGCCATTTGCCAAAATGTACTGCTGGTGCTTTGTGAGGTAGGACTCGAACCAAGCGAGTGCATTTCCACTGAGGTGGATAATGGAGGACTGGTGGTGGAGGAGGATGGCGTGATTGATGTGTCGAATGTGGCGGAGAGATCCAGGAGGACGAGGAGAGGCAGAGGGAGCCCTGGTCACAGATAGAGGATATCGTTTGTGACTTTCACGATCGCATTCCTTGTGAACGCAGGGCGGAAACCGGACTGGAGGGATTCGAGTAGGGTATGGAGGGAGAGGTGTGCACGAAGTTGGTAGGCAACAATACGTTCCAGAGCTTTGGCAAGGAAAGGCATGTTTGAGACAGAGCGGTGGTAGCCGAGATTGGAGCGATCGAGGGTAGATTTTTTAAGGAGGCGGGTGATAACTCTGGTTTTGAGGGAAAATGGGACTGATCCTGAGGAGAGAGACTGGTTAATAGTGTCTGCCAGCAGTGGGCAGAGGAGGGAGAGCTGGGTGATCGGCAGTTGGGTGGGAAGGGGCTCAAGGCAGCAGATGGTGGGTTTCATTATGGCGATGGTGGATGAGAGAGAGATGGGGGCCATGGTAGGAGTTGAGGGCGGGGTAGGTGAGGGAGACGGAATGGAGATGGTGGTAGGCGACACGGGGCAGAAGGATGAAGCTGCCAGGGGGATATTATCAATTTTAGAGGTGAGGAAGTCCATGGCCTCTTCGCAATTGGCGTTATATGTGATGATTGAGCACGACTGCACGATAACAGATAGAGGGGAGGTACTTAGAATACCCAGTCAGTTTAATGAATAGAATCATTTCCTGACTTTTTATGTGGGAAATTTAAAACCTGAGCAAAAAACCACGTGAAACTCACACTTCAGTCTGGTTACAAGTTAGAAACTGATCATGGACATAAATGCTTTCGACTACTTTTAAATGTATCAATTGTATACAGCAGCGTGGAGCAACTGGCAGGTCACATCCAGCCCAGCAGTTCATTCCAACTTCCACGGGGGTGGGGGAGGGGGGAGGTAGGGAAGAGAGAATGATTGACAGAGGGGGAGAGCAGAGAGAGTGTGAGGGAGAGGAGAGAGTGTCAGTGAGAGGTGAGGGGGGCGATTGAGAAAAAGAATGTGGGTAGAGAAAGAAACTGGGAGAGCAGAGAAAGTGTTTGTGAGAGTGGGGAGAGAATGAGAGGTGGAGTAAGGTGGAGTGTGACAGGTGAGAGTGCGCGGAGAGACGAGCGAGGGGATGGGGGTGAGAGATGCAAAAAGAGTGAGAGAGCAGAGAGAGAGTTGAAGTGCAGGCAGTGTTTCGTGGTTCACCGTCAGGACAGATGATCGAAGATTGCCTCGGGGAGGACCGAGTCAGATACCAAGTGACATGCAGTTTTCTCACAGAAAGCTCCCTCTTTCTCCAGTGATAAACTTCTCTTTGTCCCTCATTCCACCCCCCTCCCTACCGTACCTCTGCGACCTCCCAACCTGTCCGTTCCCTTTACAGAGCTTGCTTCATGTCCCCACAACCCATCTGACCCATCATCACCATTTTGCCCCCACTCTCTTGTTTTCCATTACTGAAGTCCTTCTGACTCCCTCACTCCCCTTTTTCAAGATACATGAAGACCTAACTCTTTGACCACGCTTTTGGTCATCTTTTTCCCCCACCCCTCCCGCATCCCACCTCTCTTGGCTCCCACCCCCAGCTCAGGTGCCCAGCCGACAGTGTTAAGTGCTTTGAGGTGTCCTTCCAACCGGTGCTTTGTAAATGCACAAATATTGCTTATGTGGCCCGTGGACCTTTCTCAAATAGGGAATCCAGCTCTTGGCGACCAAAAGTTTGGACCCTCCTGGGATGTAGTATGTACAATATGTACAAAACTTGTGGTGGAATATTGTGATGGATGAGCTGCTCACTAAAAGTATCAACTATATATTGTGCTATATCAAATGCAAGTATTATTATAGACATAGTGAAAATAAAGAGAATGGTTGCATTAATTTGAAGCTAGGTTAGTAACTAGGTCATAGCATGACATAGAACCATCAATGTTTAGGTCTTTTTAATTGCCCAGTTTTTCTACCGTAATGATCATTGTCAGGAATTCATGTAGCGAATTGCAATCTGTTGATCATTTTCTGTAAATAATAATGTTACTGTTTTTAAAATAAACTCCCCAGTGATGAGAACTGATGAAGCCGGAGGGCAGGGCGGTGCGAGGATTTCCTCTGCTACTCAAAGGCCTAAACACAGTGGTAAGGAATCGCCAGTGAAATGAGTTATTACCAGTCCAACTGTCCTTGTGTCCAGACCCCAAACCTGCCCAGTACAGTAGCAACTTAATGGTCTGACCGACTGGACCAGACTTCTGACGATGCAGATTGTACGTAAATGAAAGCTAGATTCTTACTTTAGCACGCAAATACTGTCAGTATCAGTATTATATGTATTATGATTAATGTGCTGAAGAACACACTTCAGCATTGTTGGATTGTATTGAAGTCATAAAATGTTATTTAAATGGGACTCTGCTGCACTTGGCAAGTTCTAATTGAAATGTGTCTGTGCAGTGTTTATTGAATAATTATTTGAGCCTGGTTTGCTTCCTGAATGTTCTTTTCCCCCTTTCATTAGATGATGTATTTCTTCCTAAAGACCTTGATCTTGAAAGTGTTGAGATGGATGAAACGGACCGTGAAGTGGAACATTTCAAGAGGTAACTTGTTGGGCAGGAAGGCACTATATTGACAGGATGAGTGTTCATGTTTGTAGGATTGCCTTTATCTTTGGAATAATATCCTTAGCGATTTCTAGTTCTTCAATTAGACTTTTTTTTTTTGGTCAGCCGGGTGTCTGACACAGAAACCCATTGCCTTGTTTAAGAATATCCAAACCAAACTGAGAATTCCACTCATCCCACCTATGGAAATCCCAGGGATAGATTGTTGGAATGGAATGTGCATTCCCTGGAGGGACATATCCTGTTTACCTAATTCTGGAAAGTATTAGGTGTAGGATGGTAAGAGCCAAGGTTTGGGAAGCCTAGAGGGTGCGTTTGGGGTAACTGCTGGAGTCTAACAGCTAAAACCACATAGCTTGGAAGACTTTATTTTGCTATTCCCTTGTAGAAAGTGCAGCAGAGCTAGGAACAAAGGAATTGCTAAACGATAAAAAGACCAACGTCCATCTAGTCCAGCATGGCCCAACAGGCGGCCGGCATCCAGCACGGTGGCTGATTTTATCCAGCCCAAGACCATCCTCCCAGGGCAGCAGCAGGAGCCGGCAGTTGGGAGGCGCATCGCAGAGAGTGAAAATAATAACGGCCATTGCTGCAGTCTGTCAGGAAGGCATGCGCGTCTCTTAACAACTATGTCCTTAACAACCGCTGGCTCCTGCCGCTGCAGACAGTGAACCTCACAGCTGATTGGGGGTGGGGAGAGAGGGGGGAGTGCGTGAGTGAGATTGTGTGTGAGTGTCTGTGTGTGAGTGTGCATGAAAGTGTGTGGAGTGAGTGTCTGTGTCAGAGTGTGTGTGGTGTGCGGGGGGGCGAGAGTGTGAATGGTGGGGGAAGAGTATGTGATGTGTGGGTGTGCCTGTGTGGACTTTTCTTCACGCTTCCACCTGCAGGGTACCCCAAGGATCCATCCTTGGCCCCCTTCTTTTCCTCATCTATATGCTCCCTCTCGGTAATGTCATTGGCAGACACAGGGTTAACTTCCACATGTATGTGGATGACGTTCAACTCTACTTTTCCACCTTCAGCTGCGGCCTCTTTCCCCTGATGATCTGTCAGCTTGTCTGTCGGACATCAAGAGCTGGATGAGCGCAAATTTCCTGCAGTTAAACGTCGACAAGACGGAAGCCATACTCTTTGGCTCCCGTCGACGTCTTCTGTCTCACTGTTCAGACATTTTCAACCTACCCGACCTGTCCTTAAAACTCACCGAACCCGTGCGCAACATAGGCATCAGGTTTGATCCGCAGTTATCGTTCCCCACATCCGGTTCCTGACCAGCACCGCTTTCTTCCACCTCCGCCACATTGGCCGTCTCCGACAATATCTCACCCCAAAACCTGCCGAAACCCTTGTCCATGCCTTTGTCACCTCTTGGCTGGACTACTCTAACGCCCTCCTTGCCAATCTCCCCTCCTCCACTCTTCACAAAATTCAGCTCATTCAAAACTACATTGCCCGTATTCTCACCTGATTACTCCTTGCCAAACTCCACTGGCTCCTTGTCCTAGAGCAGATCAACTTCAAGATCCTCACTCTAGTGTTTAATCCCTGCATTCCTTGGTACCCCCTATCTGTCAAACCTCTCTCCCCACAGCAGTACCCGCTGCCTCCACTCTACTGGGTCCGGCCTCCTCTCCGTCCCCCAAATCCTCTGCTCCACCAGCAGCGGCCGAGCCTTCAGCTACTGCACCCTCAAACTTTGGTACTCCCTACCTCAACCCCTTTGCCTCGCCCCTTCCTTCCCCATCTTCAGGTCGCGCCTGTGGGCCCCGCCATTGTTAAGCGCTCTGAGATGCCGCCCATGGTGGAGCACGCTATATAATTGCAAGTTGTTGTTCAGAGTGAGTGAGGGAGTGTGGGATGGGAGTGAGGGAGGGAGTGTGGGTGTGGAAGAGTATCTGTGTGCGCGCGTCTGTGCGGGTGGGAGAGTGTGTATGGGAGGCAGAGGGTCTGTATTTGGGGGGTGTGTGTGTGTTTGCTTGTGGGAGAATGAGTGTCTGTCCATGGGAGTGTGTCCATCTGTCTGTTCTTGGTGGTGTGACCGCCTGTCTGTATCCATCTGTGGGAGTGTGTCTGTCTGTCCGTGGGAGTGTGTCCATATGTCTGTCTGTCCGTGGGAGTGTGCCTGTTTGTCCGTGGGAGTGTGTCCGTCTGCCTTGTCTATCTGTGGAGTTGTGTTCATCTGTCTGTCTGTGGGAGTGTGTCCGTCTGTATGTCTGGCAGTGGCACCTGTCCGTCTGCCTGTGGGAGTGTGTCTGTCTATGGGAGTCTGTCTGTCCATGGGAATGTGTTGATCTATCTGTCTGTGGGAGTGTGTCTGTGTATCCGTAGGAGTGTGTCAGTCTGTCTATCTGTGGGAGTGTGTCTTGTTTGTCCATGGGAGTGTGTCTGTCTGTGCATCTGAGTGTGTCCGTCTGTCTGTCGGAGTTTGTCTGTCTGTCCGTGGGACTGTGTCCGTCTATATTGTCCATGGGAGAATGTCCGTCTGTCATCTGTCAGTCTATCCGTGGGAGTGTGTCCGTCTTTGGAAAGTGTCTGTCTTTCTGTCAGTGGTAGTGTGTCTTGTCTGTGGGAGTATGTCTGTCCATCTGTCTTTAGGAGTGTGTCTATCTGTTTGTCCATGGGAGTGTGTCCGTCTGTCTGTGGAAGTGTGTTTGTGCATCCGTTGGACTGTGTATATGTCTGTCAGTCCATGGAAGTGTATTTTGTGCCTGTCTGTCTGTCTATGGTTCCATCCATCTGTTCTTGGGAGTGTGTCCGTCTGACTGTCCTTCGGTGAGTTTGTCGGCCTGTCTCTCCATGGGAGTATGGTCGTCTGTCCGTCCATGGGAGTTTGTCCATGGGAGAGTGTCCATCTGTCTGACAGTGTGAGTGTGTCCACCTCCCTTCTCAATCTGTGGGTGTGTGTCTGTCTGTATATCTGGCAGTAAAAGATTGTCCGTCTGTCTGTCCTTGGGAGTGTGTCTGTCTGTGGGAGTGTGTCTGTCCTTCGGGGAATGTGTCTGTCTGTCTGTGCCTGGGAAAATGTCCGTCTGTCTGTCCGTGGGAGTGTGTCCATCTGTCTGTTCTTGGGAGTGTGTCTGTCTGCCTTTCCTTCGGGGAATGTGTCTGTCTGTTCTTCATGACAGTCTGACTGACCCTGGGAACGTGTCCGTCTGTCTGTCCATGGGAGTGTTTCCGTCTCTCTGTTCGTGGGAGTGTGTCTGTCTATCTGTGGGAGTGTGTCTGTCCGTCTGGCTGTGGGAGTGCGTCCATCTATCCGTCTGTCTGTGGGAGTGTGTTCATCCATCTGTCCATGGAAGTGTGTCTGTCTGTTCTTGGGAGTGTTTCCATCTGTCTGTCCGTCCTTCGAGGAGTGTGTCTGTCCATTTGTCCGTGGGAGTGTGTCCGTCTGTCTGAAGCATGGGAGTGTTTACGTCTGTCTGTTCATGGGAGTGTGTTCGTTTGTCTGTTTGTCCGTGGAAGTGTGTCCGTCCACCTGTCTGTCTGTGGGAGTGTGTCTGTGTATCTGTGGGAGTGTGTCCTGTCTGTCCGTGTGAGTGTGTCGGTCTATCTGTCCATGGGAGTGTTTATGTCTCTGTTCATGGGAGTGTGTTCGTCGTTTTGTCTGTCTGTGGGCGTGTGTCTGTCTGTCTGTGGGAGTCGGTCTGTCTGTCTGTGGGTGTCTGTCTGTCTGTCTGTGGGAGTCTGTCTGTCTGTCTGTGGGAGTCTGTCTGTCTCTCTGTCTGTGGGAGTCTGTGTGTCTGTGGGAATCTGTCTGTCTGTCGGTCTGTCTGTGGGAGTCTGTCTGTGGGAGTCTGTCTGTGGCAGTCTGTCTATCTGTCTGTCTGTGGGAGTCTGTCTGCCTTTCTGTGGGAGTCTGTCTTTCTGTGGGAGTCTGTCTGTCTGTCTGTGGGAGTCTGTCTGTCTGTGGGAGTCTGTCTGTCTGTGGGAGTCTGTCTGTGGGTGTCTGTCTGTCTGTGGGTGTCTGTCTGTCTGTCTGTGGGTGTCTGTCTGTCTGTCTGTCTGTGGGTGTCTGTCTGTCTGTGGGTGTCTGTCTGTCTGTCTGTCTGTGGGTGTCTGTCTGTCTGTCTGTCTGTCTGTGGGTGTCTGTCTGTCTGTCTGTCTGTCTGTCTGTGGGTGTCTGTCTGTCTGTGGGTGTCTGTCTGTCTGTCTGTGGGTGTCTGTCTGTCTGTGGGTGTCTGTCTGTCTGTCTGTGGGTGTCTGTCTGTCTGTCTGTCTGTGGGAGTCTGTCTGTCTGTCTGTCTGTGGGAGTCTGTCTGTCTGTCTGTCTGTCTGTGGGAGTCTGTCTGTCTGTGGGAGTCTGTCTGTCTGTCTGTGGGAGTCTGTCTGTCTGTCTGTGGGAGTCTGTCTGTCTTTCTGTGGGAGTCTGTCTGTCTGTCTGTGGGAGTCTGTCTGTCTGTCTGTGGGAGTCAGTCTGTCTCTGTCTGTGGGAGTCTGTCTGTCTCTGTCTGTGGGAGTCTGTCTGTCTGTCTGTGGGAGTCTGTCTGTGGGAGTCTGTCTGTCTGTCTGTGGGAGTCTGTCTGTCTGTGGGGAGTCTGTCTGTCTGTCTGTGGGTGTCTGTCTGTCTGTCTGTGGGTGTCTGTCTGTCTGTCTGTCTGTGGGAGTCTGTCTGTCTGTCTGTGGGAGTCTGTCTGTCTGTCTGTGGGGTGTCTGTCTGTCTGTCTGTGGGTGTCTGTCTGTCTGTGGGTGTCTGTCTGTCTGTGGGTGTCTGTCTGTCTGTCTGTGGTGTCTGTCTGTCTGTCTGTCTGTGGGTGTCTGTGGGTGTCTGTCTGTGGGAGTCTGTCTGTCTGTCTGTGGGAGTCTGTCTCTGTCTGTGGGAGTCTGTCTGTCTGTCTGTCTGTGGGAGTCTGTCTGTCTGTCTGTCTGTGGGAGTCTGTCTGTCTGTCTGTCTGTGGGAGTCTGTCTGTCTGTCTGTCTGTGGAGTCTGTCTGTCTGTGGGAGTCTGTCTGTCTGTCTGTGGGAGTCTGTCTGTCTGTCTGTCTGTCTGTGGGAGTCTGTCTGTCTGTCTGTCTGTCTGTGGGAGTCTGTCTGTCTGTCTGTCTGTGGGAGTCTGTCTGTCTGTCTGTGGGAGTCTGTCTGTCTGTCTGTGGGAGTCTGTCTGTCTGTCTGTGGGAGTCTGTCTGTCTGTCTGTGGGAGTCTGTCTGTCTGTCTGTCTGTGGGAGTCTGTCTGTCTGTCTGTGGGAGTCTGTCTGTCTGTAGGTGGAGACTGTCTGTCTGTAGGTGGAGACTGTCTGTCTGTAGGTGGAGACTGTCTGT